AGTTGCATTCAATTAGTAGGAAAATATATTAATAATAATAATAATAATAATAATAATAATAATAATAAATAATATGGAGAACTTAATATAATACCTAATTATTCTACCATGGAGAAATAACAAATAATTAGAAATTTTTGACTCAATTGCAAAGTGGATTATTGCAATGTTTGGACTACTCATACTTATTTTACTCACTCATGGCATCCCTTTGTGTTTTCAAGCCAAAAATAGTTGCATTCAATTAATAGGACAAACTCATGCATGCAATTCCCATTCATTTATCAAAGGACAAGATGAAAGACAAAAGAGTCAAATGCATTGACCAAAATTGAACATGGCCATGGGGTTGGTTAGTAAATAACTTCTTAAATCTTTCATAATCATCAAAGTTGACACAAATGTTGCAACACCAATGAACAACCCTTATAATCATAAAAAGTGCACATTTTGCCTTCTCCTATGAAGACTTCTCCTGTTGCAAGAGATGACAAGGAATCTTCTCCTAAGGTGGCCTACAAGTCAAAAAGCAACATAAGATTTGACCATTGGGCCATAGGTGAGAATCAAACATACCAATTATGTCATTGATGTTGAGTCAACTATTTATTCAGTACTATACTTCTGACTTTATTATATGGTTAGTTTGCTAGCCTTTTGATGTGTTCTTTTATCAGCCTTAGAATTGCTCTTAGGCAGACATTAAAGTGTGATGAGTACCATATTAGATCAATCTATCAATATATTAATTTGTTATTTGGTGTTTTTTAGTATATCAGGATAGAGACAAAAAAAAAAAAGGAAAATGGGTGAGGAAATGCTTTAATTCTTTAACAAAGAAAGAATCCAATTTAAAGGTAAATAAATATATAATCTTATAAAAAAAATAAAAGATTATTTATTTAGTAAGAATATTACAATTCCTCCTTTTGTATGATTGCAAGCATATGTATATCATCATCATCATCATTGTCCACTATAGTAAGAACATGATCTAGGAAAAGAACATTTATCTAAAAAAGCCTAAAGGACATACAGATATGAATTAGAAGCTTTAAACCATAATGACATCATTACTTTTATGTGTTATAATAATCATTATCCCTTTGAGACACTAAAAGACATGAACATATGGAAGACAAGAAGTGCTCCTTCTCACTTTACAATATGTCAGTCAACCAAAGAAGATGACAGAGATGAGAAAGAAATATTTATTGTTATGTCTGCATACATAGCTAACAAATCTTCGCTTGTGCCACACACATAGCTGCCATCAACTTAGTACTAAGACAACATTACACACTAATCTCAGTACTTGAGAATGCTGAATTAAGACAACAGTGATATCAGACTTCAGCAGGCTTCATCTTCTTCTCCATGGGAGCAGCTGCCACGCCTTGTTTGTCCTCCTCCTGCTCCTCCTGCGCTCTATTCGGCACCTTCTCTTCCACCCCGATCGCGTAGATCTCCAACACCTTCTCCGCCGTGCCAAGCTTCGACGCGATGTGCTCCGGCAGCTTCTGCTCCACCATGGCCTTGTCTTTGTTCCTGTAAGCTACGTAGAGCACCATTTGCAGGACCCCGAAGATGAACCCCAACACATTGGGCAGCTAATCCAGAAGGAAGTTGAAATGTGAGTGAGATGAGCGATGTTAAGCCACGACAAGATCGAGATGAAGAGATTAGATGTGGGTAGATACCGCGACGTATAAGTCCTTGGTTAGCAATCCATATCCGAACCAGACGACGGCGCTCCATGTGAGGAAGAAGGACAGCGAGAATGGCATGAACTCCACGCTCTTCGTTCGGATCACAAGCCTCTGAGCAACCACAGAACGCGTCAGTATGGTTAATCCTCTGATTACTGCATTTGCAGAAGGATTCCTACTCACGATGATGCTTAGAGGAGCCACGAAAACGCTCACGGAGAAGCTCATACAGATCCACCCGAGAACCTCGACTCGTTTGGCACCCCTCGCGAACAGAAGAGTCAGCACAAGGATCAACCCGAACATCCCCACGTTCACGAGCAGCACCAGCTTTGCGGTAAACATCTGCAATCCGAAGACACTCTTCTTCAGATCAGACGAGTCACAGTCGGTCGCCTACATGAAATGGTTGAGCGAGCGTGTACGATGTACCTTTGCGGCCTTTGGCGCGTAGGTGAAGTACACGACCACGTATGCGGTCTCGATGACGCAGCCGACCGCGTTAATGGTGATGAGAAGGCCAGCGTTGGTCTTGAGGAAGGCGTAGAAGATCCACAGGGTGGCACTGAAGAGAGCAACCACGTACGGCACCGAATGAAACCCTTCGGTGGATTTCCTCCTGCACACTCTGTAGAACGTCGGCCTGCACTCTCGAATCAATCATCCATGGTAAGATCACTGCAACAAAATCTCGACAGGGAGAGAGAGAGAAGAAGCGGTGGGAGGGAATTATCCTTACAGTGGTGCGAGATACACCATGAAGGAGATGATGTTACCTATCGAACAAGATGAGAAGCTGCGTTAGGATATGAAAGATGCAGAACAAGAACAATGCATTAAAGTGCAGTGTCATCCTGAATCCTCAGAGAGCTTCTGAATTAGATTAGGGAGAGATCCATGCAAGATATACCTAGGATGCCAAAGGTGAATGCCCAAGGGTGGTCCAAAGATAACCCTGCCATCTCTCTCTCTCTCTCTCTCTCTCTCTTTCACTGGCACTCTCACCTCCTAACACCTTCTTCTTCTTCGGATCAACAACTCGGTGAGCCCCCATTTTATAGGGGAAGAGAGGAGAGGAAGCAGTCGAGCATATCGCGATCATGCAGGATACGTATGTGTGACTTCATGGAATGGTGATGGGACTACTCGTGGTTACGTTACATAAGGGATGAGAGGGTGCGTCATTTCATGTGATTCTTATCTGTGGCTCGCGCACGCACACATGCACTCTGCAGTTACCCCTTCGTCATCATCATCACCACCACCATTGCCTTTTCCTGTTCCATGCACACGCCATGGTAGCTTCCTGCCTCCCCCCGTTTTGCTCTCTTCCAATCGACGAAACGGCGTTCGTGAACATGCTGAGCTCGTTTGCACTTCACCACCGCCTTTGATCTTTTTCTCTTTTGGATACGTATCGTGTGAAATAAAACCCTAAAAAATCATGTTTCTTAGATAATTGTCATGTAATTAATTATCTTTGAAGGACAAATTTGACGGTCGATCGAGTTGGCTTTTGGAAAGTGGACGTCTCGTCGTGTTCCAAAGGCCACGTGGACTAAGATCATCCATGTCTTTTATGATCACCCTTACGACGAGTGGGTGGTGGAGATTCCATGTTTGGTCGAAGGAGAATTCCGTATCTCTCTCATACTCTCTCGTTATCGTCCATTTGGTATGCTTTGGTCATGTCATGGAGAGCAAACTTTGACCCTCTATTGATCTTTCCTCTCCTCTCTTAGGCTATTAATTTAATTGATTGATTGTTATTATTATCTTTAAATATAAAGAAATCATTTCTTCGATAAGAGATCAAACGAGTGCTAAATCACTGCTTCGATTTCCATAAGTTAGTTAGCTGGAAATATAGATCTTAAAGACAACAACTATAAAGAACTTAGACAAAATTGATCTGATTACATAGGCTTTATAGAGAGGTAGAGATATCATAAACTAATCCAGTGTATAACATAGGAGAAAAAGATCGATCGATCTTCTATCTCTTTGAATTATTAGAATAATACATTAACTGGAGAATCATTCAGCATGGTCAAATTTACATGGACATGCCAACAACCAAAGTAGTGGATTTGCAGAAAAAGAAATATGAAAGGAGAAGGTAACAAATATTCCAAAGTGTGTGCTGATGCTGACATTGGCAATTGCATGCATGAAGATCATGGCTAGTTTATCTTGTGTGACATCAAGTGTGAGAATGGAGATGACCCACAAATCCTGATGATAATTGGTGGTGGAATTATATGGGTGACCTCATCACACCAAGAGGAGCAGCCAGCCAGCCAGCCATCCATCCATCCCTTTGTCTCAGTAGCTAGCTTTATTCAATTTGCCAGGTTCATTAGCTTTTCTCCTTCCTGTTTGGATCAATGCTGATCCCAATAATTTGCTATGATAGAATTATCATGCTCCTGGTGATGGTACCATGTCTGGCTACCATTGGTTGTGGATCTTATCACTGCTTAATAAATAACATGCAAACTTGATTATAGAGTCATCAGGCCAATCACCAATTGACCCACCAATGGAATGTGGCCACCACCACACCAATGCTTTTGATCTCTATCTTCATCTTGTTCTTATCTCTCTCTCTCTCTCTCTCTCTCTCTCTCTCTCTCTCAGCTGTGGATAGCTTCTTCTCAATCATCTGCATGAACAGAACCCAGCCAAGATGCCATACCACAAACACTTTTGATAAGCATCCACAAATGTGAGCAACCGTAATAATGGGAGCTCTGTTCCAGCAATCATTGTACCTTCTCTTTTGTGCAGATATTTAATCTGGTGATTCATGCTGATGGAAGTGATTATAAATTGAGTTGATCATGCGGTCACGGCATTAAGCAATGATTTAATGGCTAGGCTTGCTGAGGCCCCTCTCATGGCACAAGAAGTTTGGCTTTGGTAAAGGAAAGCTGGTCTCTTTTTAGGGACTGCTCTTGAGTGCATTGTGATCTCAGCTTGTGGCATTGCTTTGCATCTAAATCTGCAACCTTTTGTGAGGAAATGTTACAAACGTTTAAACTGCTGAGGAAAACTTCATACCATGAAAATTCCAGTTCAATACCTCAACACTATTTGAAATGGTCACATCCTATCTGCAACTTTAAAGGTTGGCTGCTGCCAACCCTTCCAGTGGATCATTCAACTCTTGCATGATGGATTCAAAAAGAGCCCAACAATCATTCTTCATAATACAGCTAAACATCACTAGTAAGGCTTTGCTGGCATCTGGCCTTCAGTCTGTCGGAGGACAAGCATGAAGATATCATTCCATTTCTTTAGCATGATAATAGAACACAACGCACCATAAATTAACAATTTGTTTAAGCATCTCAGTTTCATATAATGTTGAAAAAAATCTGGCCAGCCTCAATATATGGAGGGAAATTTTACCTAGGTGTATAACTAGACAGTGATAAGCAATAGCTTAACGAAAATGAGTAATAGCATACCATAGAAATAAAATGAATAAGAATGTCTAGAATTGGAGAACCAGAAGCATATTCATGTCAAAATCATCTCTTATTGTAATCAACATAATATAAACTTGACGCATATGTAATGTCACAAAAAACTATCATGAAGAATTCACAGTTCCAAGAATGCAATGTAATGTTCTAGTGACAAAAACAGATTCCTTGGAGCATCTCAAGTAGACATGCTCTTCCCTTGCAAGTAGAATATGTAGTCCACATTCATTGTCTCAATCTATCATTTACTGATGTTCCTGGTTTTGGTTCATGCATGGTGACTGCAGTGGATTACACAAGATCACTTTACCTTAATCTTGCCTAACACAGACTACTCCTAAAATGAGTTTCATTTCTCAACCCCATTACGATCCTTCACTTGAATACTAGCCTCATAAGATTTAAGTTTGGATTTGGATCTTCAGCTGATAAGCAGCAAAAGGTTTTATGACTAGATCCAAAGTCAATTTTGTTAGTTACATATGGAGAGTCCACAAAACCTAAACTAATATCAATTCTGCAGATCAGGGGATGTCAAAGTCCTTTTACAGTATTCAGTTCCTGAACCTGAGAGAAACTAGGGCGAATGTTATGCCACTAGTTCCTCCAATAAGATGATTGATCAGCTAATAGATTTCCTGATATCAATCTTTGCCATTCAACCATACACCGACTGTCAAAGCAGAGGCAAAGAAACCAACTTTTGAGCTAAATGGTGCATAAGGTAGTTTTGATGGCAGAAGTCAAACTCAAGACCATCTAAGCCAACTTTTGGATCGACATCCATTGATTTTGTCAAACTACCAATTTAAGAAAGCCGAGAACGACCTTTTTTCCATAAAACGAGACCATTGTTTTCTTTTTCCCTAAAATGAGACCATTGTATAAGATGACTAACACATTAGATTCTACACCCGTTAACATTTTCAACTAAACATGAAGAATCTCTTCAACAAATGAACAAGCAACGTAAATGTATAGAAAGGGCAGCTCAATGCATGAGACTCCAGCCTTATCCTTGCATGCAAGATGATGTTTTCAGAAACAACATATATACATGCATACATATATGCATCTTTGTAAAGCGTACCATTTCAGCAGATGATCTGACAAAGTGCAGAATATAACACCAAGGCACGAGGATGGCAACCAACATTTATGACCCAATGGATCTTGGTTTTTCCTAACACCAAAACAGGTGTCAATCCTTAGATTCAGAAAAGAAAATGTTTTCTCTTCTCTCGATGCATTTAGTTGACATCACGAGGCTATAGGACTATAGCATACAAAAGTTTAGCAACCACCATCATGAATGATATTTGAGCTCTTAAAAGAGGATGCACTCTGAACATAATATAGAAGGCATTAATAACTTTATGAAATATATGAAACTTCTGCTCCAATATGGTGTCTGAAGGATGGTAATAGGTGCTTGCATTAACAATGCAACTCGACCAACTCCCACTAGTTCAATCAGTGTTGTCAAAAGCACTTGCGGTATAAGGTGTTGGGGCATGAGATTGCTGGTGCTGGCGCAAGCAAAGCAAGAAACTTACCCTTCTCAGCCCGACCATAGGTATGCTATTGTCTTTGAATTCTCCCCACTCCCGATATATAGACTCGATAAAACAAATTATTCCAATTTAATTATTTTTCACTAATTATTTGTACTAAATACAATTTTAAAGTATATAATAAATATTTTAAAGAGATAATTCAGGCTAAGAAATTAGGCATCAATACAAAAATCAGTCATAAAATGATGCAATTCTATTTTTTAATGTCTTGTCTCATACTGTCACCTCTCCAATAAATTCCAGTGGTGAGTAAGATGGAATAGATCATAGAATTTATACCTTATTTCATAATATTAATGATACTATTCTTCAATTTATTCTGGATGATTTATTTATTTACTTGGTGCATCTGTTTTTGAACTTTTATCCCTTTTTTTTCTAGGTAAAGAAGCATAGCAAAGAGACGTACTCAGTACCCTCATCACTCTCTTCATCTTTTGCCATGCTTGTCTCTCGCTCTTGTCAGTCGTTGACCCTACTCGTGGTCTCCCTCCGCCCTTTCTTCCTCAGCTCAAGCCCTTCCTCTCCCCCTCCCCCTCCCCCTCGACATCCCACCTCCTCAGTAAAAATGATATTTAATAAAAGATGTTCCTAAATTCTCGAAAGAGTGACATCTTCGCGTATAAAAAACCCAAAATCTAAGATTTTTTTGATAAATAACTCATTTATTTTTCTATTTATTTTTTAATTCTATCTTAGGTTTTGAACGGCAGAGGTTTTCTTCCGCCCACCGTTCTTTTCGGTTGACCTCTCCACGCTAATAAAAAACGCAAAAAAAAAGAGAATATTGCAGCATTTCCCGATGTAAACGGAGTATCGCGAATGTTCCCATTCGTTTGCTGCTTCCAACATATTTCTCCGATCTCCGATCCCAATTCCGGAACCCTAGCTTTTCGATCCCACCCGCTTCCCATGGCGCTCAAGGCCGTGCACGTCTCCGACGTCCCCACTCTCGATCAGGTCCCGGCGGCCCCCACCGTCGCCCTCTCCTCCTCCCTAACGCGCCTTTTCAAAGGTATCACAGCTCCTTCTCTCTCTCTCTCTCTCTCTCTCTGTATGTGGAATGTGGAATGCGGTTGCGACAATGGGGGATTTACGTACCTGTGGAGCAGGAGCGGCGGAGAGGCTGGTGGTGATCGGGCATCGGGGGAAGGGGATGAACGCGCTGGCGTCGCCGGACCGGCGGCTGAAGGAGGTCAAGGAGAACTCGCTCCGCTCCTTCAACGAGGCCGCCCGCTTCAACATCGACTTCGTCGAGTTCGACGTCCAGGTATATACATTCGCGTAATGCCGTCATTATCTCCTTCTCCGTCCTCTCTTCCTCTCTCTCTCTCTCTCTCTCGTGTTCCGCCGTTTGGATCGCGGCGATCGGCTTTGAAGAAGGGCGAGGACGCGGCGCGCGACGACGCCACGAGCGAGGAACCCGCACGTGAATTGTGACGCGGATGCTCGATCGGACAGGATTTGTCTTAACGTGACTCGTGGCGACAGAACAACCGTTTGATCTCGTTAGTATATCATGTACCCCATTGGCTTTTAACATTGATAGTATCAATTAGGCACTTCAAGCATTAATTACAAAAGATATTAATCGAATATATTGATTGGAAATATAAATTATTTACTGCATGTGGAAATATCTCCATCTTGGATGCTTTGGTTGGACAGTCTTCCTCCTGGTAGAATCCTCACGAGAATACCATCGATGCAATTCTTGCAGGTGACCAAGGATGACTGCCCCATCATCTTTCATGACAATCTCATACTCACCGAAGAACATGTAAGATTCTTCCATCTCCATCTCGCTGTTGATATCATCAGTCACTGCATGCCCCACTTCGGCAGCAGCTCATTCGAACCTCTTGATCACAGGGAAATCTGTCCGAGAAGCATGTCACTGATCTGTGCTTGGGAGAGTTCCTTTCCTATGGACCGCAAAGAGATCCTGCGAAGGTGGTTCTGTTCTTGTTCGAACTGCACTTGGATGGACTGATGCTGATCTTTGTTGCTCCATTGGACGACAGGTGGGGAAGCCATTGCTTCGGAAGACCAAAGACGGGAGGATTCTGACTTGGGACGTCGAAGCAGACGACCCGTTCTGCACGCTGCAGGATGCATTCCAAGGCGTTGATTCCCATATGGGCTTCAACATCGAGTTGAAGTTCGATGACCATGTCATCTACAAAGAAGAACAGCTTGCTCATGCTCTTCGAGTCGTCTTGCGAGTACGACGCGCCGTCACACAGCGTCGATTCCTCGTGTTGGGACTTTGAGAACATTCCTCCTCTGTTCTGCAGGTTGTGTTCGAGTTCGCCGAGGAAAGGCCGATCGTCTTCTCCAGCTTCCAGCCCGACGCCGCACGGCTAATGCGTGGACTCCAGAACGTCTACCCCGTAAGCAGAGTTCCATCTCATCGTGGTTTCAGGGCATGCAATCTGATTTCTCAGGTACCGACGCAGGTGTTCTTCCTCACCAATGGAGGAACGGAGATCTACAGAGATGCAAGGAGGAACTCCTTGGACGAGGCAATCAAACTGTGCATGGCAAGCGGCTTACAAGGAATAGTATCCGAAGTGAGAGCCTTCTTCAGGAATCCAGCAGCTGTAGCAAGGATCAAGGAATCCAATCTCGCACTCTTAACATACGGACAGCTAAAGTAATCCATTACTTGAAGTTACTACAACGTTTCCGGCACAGCATCGAATCGTAGGCGCTGACACAAAGATTGCTCTTCCCTTGCAGCAACGTGCCTAAAACAGTGTACATGCAGCAGCTGATGGGGGTTAATGGCGTAATCGTAGACTTGGTGAAGGAGATCACTGAGGCTCTCAGACCTCATCCCATGCAGCTGAAGTGAAGGACGCTTTAAGGCCTAACATAACATGATGTAGGCTTTTGTGTACATTCTATTGTGTGACAAAAGTGTTGACATTTGGAAGCAATTGTTGTATACTATTTTTGTATTTGATCTAATGTTAGAGCTTATCTCAACCAGTAGATGACAAGCACAGGATCAATGTATTTTGCTTTATATGATGAACATCAAGGATAAATTAATTATTTATCTTATGATGAGTTTGTTGTATTGGTGATGAATAAATTTGCTAATTTGTCAAACCATCATTTATTTAGTTACTAGCAAATTTACAAATACTGAGTTTTTTTAGTAAATATGCTAAACAAAAAATCAATGGCATAAATATTAGGATCGATAATTTCGGAGCAATTTGATTTCGGCTGTCGTCGAGTCGATTTGATTTGGGCTGGGCCTGAAACCCTAAATGGGCCTCACTTACTGGCCCATGAAACATAAAACAAAGGGCAACATCTGTATATTTTTATTCAATTCAGCTTATCACAAGAAAGATTTGTGTTCATCACACTTAATATGCATCTCTCCATCACATCCTTTCTGTTCTACATGCTTCAAGCAATGGCAAAAGCAGAGGAGTCAACCAACAAGTTTGCCACCATTTCACATGGTGGAATAGAGTTCATGGCTTCTACCTGCCAAGTTTCAGGTCCAAACCAACTGATTAAAGTTGATGCAGGTGTGTACACATTTGGATCAAGTGGATGTTGCCTTCATCTCAACTTAGGAGTTGCAGAGCTTTTACTGTCCAAGATTAAGGCTCAAGCTTCCTGACCAAAGTTTATGTCTGTGTGTAGATGTCTTCAATTCAGTTCATAGGCTCTTCTTTTCTTTGACCTGCCAGAATTCTGGTCCATAAAGTACAACTCCTGTCATTAAGATTGCCTCCTGCATTCATACACCAAGCAGCTCCTCTTCATCTGCAATGAAGAATCAGGTTCATCAGCTCTTGGTATTCACAGCAGAACAAGAACTAATTGATAGCTTCAGATGAAAGATATGGATGCTGATTGATCTTGTGACCTTGTGTTTGCTTAGGCCATTGGGGCAAGGTGTTAAGAAATCCAGAAGCATTGACAAAGCCGCCTTGTGAGCTTTATTCAGTGAAAAGAAATGACTTCTTTTGCCAAACAAGCAAGCACTGGAAGCTTTTGAAGACTAAGTTCATCTTAGTGGGATAAATATGTCGACCTCATACTTTTTTGGAGGCTGCTATGGTTGGATTCACATGTGATATGAAGCTTTTGACAAGATGATGATGACACCATGGGTCAAAAAGGGAATAATTAGGAAGAGGGTAGAAGGAAAACATGCCAGACCTGCAAAATGAAATCAGTGGTAGGATTGTCATGAGAACTTCAAACTTCTCAACTGATGGCCACTGTAAAATGGAAGGAAAAAGAAACTAGTCATGGAAATTATTACCTTTAACTACATCTAACAATAATATATTTTTTTGAATCATCATGATATTTAGCAGGAAGAGAAGAAAATAATTTACAGATTTAATACTTTTCCTGGTGTCAACAGTTAATATGTTGAATCATCAGAATTCAACTCAAACATTTCCTTCCTTACTTTCAGCTCTATATTATGGACAACTTACAATGGCACAGTAATAACACAACATTTCCAAGGCACTAATACGACAACTCTTTAATCTATATCGTCCGCAAGAAGCAGAAACAAGTGCCAAAAACAAAAAAAAAGATCAACTTTGACTGAGAAACTGTTGCTAAATCTATAATAAGAATTTTCTTACTGTTCGCTCGAAGAAGATGAATCCAGAATTTCTGATGATGCTGATCCATGATATAGTTAGTGAAAGAATTCAAAGTTGGGATGTCTAATACAACCACACTAAAAAAGAATTACCAACTCCTCAAATTGTGCCTAATTAGCCCTTTAGTTTCAACATAGCTTTGATCTCAGTTGTGATCACCTTTGTCGCTGTATTGCTATTTCTTTCCTTTATGAGCCGAGACACAAGTGCCTGATGCTGAGGTTGGTAAACACAGAAGACCGAACAACACAAGCAGCACAAGAGTAAATCTCAATTAAACTTCATACAACCCTGCAGGCGCATGCATTCCGAGAATGACTGCCAATTGTTTTCAGTGGAACTCATCCCTACAGAATCATGCATCTCAGACAAATTATGATTGCCAGTAGTCAAAATTTGCAGGGTGGGAGACATGGGAACAGTGTCCTGTAACTTGCACGACCAATCACCATCATAAAATTCTATCTTCCTTCAGTATTTCAGACCTTGTCTCTGTCTTTTTTCCTGGAAGAAAAATATCTCAAATTGTGTTCTCACAAGGTAGAGACTTGAGGATGTCTCCAACACCCAACATCAAGTATGTTTCAGCCACAGAAATCAGAATCCCAGTCTTGATAACCTCAAGTGGGACTGTCACATACATTAGATGCTTCCCCATAGGAGTACCCAAGAAGGTGAGAGCCATTAAAGGTCAGATTCAAAGCACAGAATGACTAAGACTTTAGGTGCCATGAGAGTCTCTCATCCATCCAGGAGTACCATTCTCTTCCGACAGTCCAAGATCTGCAATCTCAGGTTGCTTGGCTGACTCAATTAGTGCCCACATCACTTGGTTGATTCAACTAAATGCTTGCCGACCCAACCAACCACAGATGACCTGTGCATGATGCCATGTGAGGTTGCTGAGGCTCAATTGTACTACCATATCTCTCAATTTATGGATCCACCAAATTCATGTATCCATGAACTCTGAATATTTTTAGATTGAAGCATAAAAGGACAATCCACCTGCTAATGTGGAATCTGAAGCATGCATAGTAGCCTTACCCTTGCAAAGAGATAAACTGTGTAACACAAAAAGAGTTAATCTTTGTGTTTATTTGCATGAAATTGAAACTATGAAGAAATTTCAGCACAAATACTATTACAAAAACAGTGATCCTTTTGAACCCAACAGAGCTCTACTCAAAATAAGAGAAGGCCATGCTATGCATTTGGTACACCACCTCAGGTTTAGCTTCCCCAACCTATTCCTATGAGTAGATAAGTTAGGCTTAATCCTCCATTGTCAAGTTACACTAATTTGCTTTTCATATGATTCAACAAAACAACAAGATAAGCTTGGACCATTTGGTACTTGCTTGTTGTCAAGTAGAAGAAACAAGAACAAGAAGAGATTTTTCTTTCTTTTGGAGCACAAGGTTCAAATCCATGAAGTCTAATGAGACCCTAGAGACACCCCATGCCCTAGGTTAGTGCAGTTGTGTGGTCCTCGTCCCTCATACAACCAGCCACCCAATTCCCCCATTCTGAGGTAATCAACACATATGAGCTTCTCTCCTTGCTGCTTCCTCCACTCCATCATCCATTGGTAAGCGAGTAGCATAGGAAACAAACAAGGCAAGGCCGAGTAGAACAGCAAGGAGAACTCATAAGAGGGGAAGCCAATTCCAAGCACAATAATTGTACCTTTTTGACTCCCTCTCTTTGCCTCCTCCAACACCTCTTCAATCCCCACACGCAAACCCATTCGACCATTTGTACACTTGTATAAGAACACTAAAAACACATATTTTTAAGGATGGAAAGGAACACTCGAGAGAGAGAGAGAGAGAGAGAGGAGTAGAAAACAGCCGCATTTTGGCTCAAGAAAGCACATGTCGCACACGATTCTCTTTGTCTGTTCCCACAACTACAAGTGGGATTTGGCATCTGTTCTTTCTTTTCACCATCTCATCTCACTCCTCTCCTCCTCTCTCCTCCTCGGCAAATGAGAACCTTTGCCTTCTCCCCACGGCAGCAAAAGCCATCCAATGTTGATGCTTCGTGTTCCTCCATATTTACACGCCTGCTGTGACATTTTCTTACCTCTCTTCTTCTCCTCCATGCTTAGAGAGGATTAATCATGCAAAGCTCTCCTTTAAACCCAAAGCTTTGTTACAGTGTGACTCCTTTATGATAAGTTTGAGCCACATAAATATTATCTATATTAATCATCTATCAAGTTAATAAAGATAAAGATGATAAAGACAAGATTGGAAGATGTTATTATCAATTTGATATACTTAAAATTATATTTTCAATCACTTGGGATGTTGAAGTTAGTGAGTTCTATTTGAAGCAATATCACTAATCCAAATATATATAAAAAAAGTTAATCTCTTTTTAATCTTCATTAATGTTTGTTACTAATCTTAATCAGCCCATCTTATTTAATTTGGGATATTTATATCTTATTTGAAGGTGCTTATATAATATTAAAATTACATTTTTTTTTTCATCTTATTTTGTTTTAGAGCTACATTTTATCATCTATCAACTATACATTAGCCCAAAATACTTGTCTCAAGAACACAATTCTTTTTTTGTAAACACCATAATTTTCCAACATGAAGCATTATTTATTTTGCGATCATATGTATATCCCTCTTCGTTTTGATTATTATATCTATCTTTCTTATTGAATAATAGATATACGATATTTAAATTTTTCAGAAATTATTTCATGTAATCATCATATAATTCATTTCTTTTTTTTTTGTCATTACTAAGGTTATATCTCTCATATATTTGTTAATTGACTTATTTACTCTAAAAACTTTATTTTATAGCATTAGTTTTGATTGCTCGTGTTTAAACTTACCATTAATCTCATTAATTATGATACTACCATCATCATCGTATCGTCGTCGTCATCATGAAATATTTTATTTACAAAAAGAGAAAAACTTTTCAAAAGTAAAAGTTAAAAAATAGAAAACAATTACATTCCCTTCGTATAAATC